TTTTTTAGACCACCTGGCTTTCGCTTCAGAGAGCTAAGCTTTTCAGAGGAATATTTAGATGTGACTTCTGGTTGGGCCGCACACTTGAGATCCGTTAAGCACAGACACTTTCTGCCATTTTTAATGTAGAGATAAACAGTTTTCTTAAATGTCCCGTTTTCTTCTTGCTGAGCTGCAGAACTAAATCTTGTGCCTCAAAGCAGCGGAGTGTTTTGATGGTACATTTGTATACCCAGGTTTCCTTGATTTAATATTGCAGTGGTATATTTCTGGATGGGCATCTTCGTTGTGAACCTACTCGGACATTGTGGCTTCAATGCTCCTTTTTGACAGCAGCTCCTAAGCAGATGGCAAACCCCAGATGTGCCTGCGGGGGAGCCGGAAATGGATCCAAGAGAAGGCAGAGTGGGAAAACGTACTAGACTAGGCAGGGCAGAGTCTAGTACATACTGGCTTTTAGTATTAAATAGCTGGCACCCACTTGAGCTGTCCTGCCTTCTCATTTTTATTTGCATTACAGCTGTTCCTGGAGGCCCAGTCGGAGATTACGGACCCCGTTGTGCTAAGTGCAGCGGATGCTCATAGCAAGACAGTCCCTGCCCTGACGGACTTGTGGTTTAACTAGACAAGCCAGGCGAAGGAGGGGAGGGGAGGCAGAGGCACAAAGATGTGAAGTGATTTGTTCGAGGTAATGAAGCCAGCCAGTGGTCGAAGCTGAAATAGAGCCCGGATCTCCTGACTGCCAGTCCAGGGCCCTCTGCGCTGGACCATGCTGACGTAGCAGAGGTGTTCCTTTTAGCTAGACAGACGTGCTTTGCTTTTAATCAACGTAGCCAGTGATTTGGGAAGAGAGAGAGAGGTTTAAGCGACACTGAAAGCAGTCAGTACAGCTAGCTAGATTTGGCCAAAAAAAATAAATGATTCGAGGAATCTGTGACACCTTGATCCTTTCCGAGCCCCGTGCAAGTCCCCAGTATAACTTTTCTCTCTTTCTTAGGAAGCATATTATTATTTTTTTAATGCTAGTTACATCTCTCTCTCTCCCCTCTCTAGGTATATTTGCTGAGGCTCCTTAAAATGGCTTTACGCTTCCGCACTTTCTTCCCGTACGCCTTACCTGGAGTGCTGGCACTTATTGGTTGGTGGTGGTTTTTTTCTCGTAAAAAGGAGCGTACGAGCAATCACGACAGGCAAGCATTAGCTGGCGTGGAAGATCAGAGGATTGAACCTCCCATAAAGGAACCTCTGTCCAGAGAAGAGGTAAATGCTACTAAAGAACTGCCTGTGCCCTCTGAAGAGGACTGCCCAGAGAATGAAACCTTAACTTCCCAGCTGTCCGTAGGGTTAATGACCCCCTCTCTGGCATGTGACCCTCAACAGAGATTAGGTTCCTCCAGGGACCATCCTGCCGCCGCAGTGACGACCTTCGAATTGGGCACGTTTGAGGACGACAGTGAAAAACTGGAAAGAGCAGCGTCTCGAGATGAACCCGGGTCCCTTGCACAAGTGTCTCCCGCTTCAGCCCCGAAGAGTGTCGAGTGCTGTGACAATGGTGTACTTGTTACCAAGCAGGAGTCAGCTTTCAGGGGAATCCCAGAGCAGCAGCCATTGGTGTGTTCCGTGGTAGAGTCAGTACAAGAGTCTTTGGGAAAGACTGGGGAAAGTGGTGAAGCAGAAATGACACACGATTCTTTGGAGAATCCATCTAAGGAAATCCAGTGCCTAGCGGCTACGTCCTCAGACACTGGCTGCCTGCCGGCCCTGGGCTCTGAACCAGAGGATTCAGCCACCACCCAACCTGCCATTTTAGATGAAGATGATAGTGAGGAAGTCGAGGGCACTGTCCCCGGGCAGAGAGAGTCTGTAGTTGGGAAGTTCCTGAATAATTGTGTAGAGTCTGCTGGCTTGGACCTGTCCAGGGAAGAGGAGATGTCTGAGATGACCGTCAGTACTGTGCTTAAATGTCATGGAAGGGAAGAGAAGTGCTACAGGGATATGCAGTCGAAAGGAGATGGTTTGGAAAGAGAGAGAATTGGAGGAGTGAGTTTGGACAAAGATGAAGTTGAGAAAATTGAGCAAGCAGCCATACAGATTATTTCCAAAGTCATCTTAGCAGCTACCGAGGAAGTGCTGTCTAGTTCAGTAAGCGATGTGTCCAGTAGGATCTGTGAAGTCGCAGTCAGTCGGGTTGATAGACCGCTGGAGAGAGTGAGCATTTCATCCGATGAGATGCTTGCAGTGGAATCTAGCAGAGGGAATGAAGCCGTTTCCACAGAGAATGTCGCAACGATACCTGTTCCCCTATCGGAAGAGAAACTCCATCGTTATGTATCGTATTCCAGCTGTTTGAAATACGGGCGCTTATCTAACCCAGTGCAGGTAGATCCAAAAGACCATCGGCCAAAGAAATCTGTGCACAGTGAAACACAAGGAAATAACCGGACTTTGGTTACGAACAATGGAGAGTCGTTCGAAGAGTCGCATGCAGTAACGGAGGATTCTGGGTGCAGTGCATGTACGTCTGAAGATGGGACGAACGTCGAGGATCCCTTGCAAAGCACGTCACTGTCTCTCCTATCAGGCCAGCATTCAGACTTGCTGAGCATGTCTGTGATCCAGGACGCTTCCACAGAGCAAAACGTGGCACAGAGTGAGAAACCTCAGACCCCTATATTAGGGGAAGACAAAGTGCCATACAGCAATGGAGTGCTGAAAGGGGACAGTGCAGATCTGAGACATGAGAAGCACTGGACAGCGGAGACCGATGCAGATCACTCAGGAGGTAAGGGGTCACATCTCTTTGAGAGCCTCACACAAGACACATGGGGGAAGGTGCGTTAGTACAGCACTGAAAAGTCCTCAGTCCCCAACCCTCATCACAATTCAGAGGGCCTGCTTGTTGGTAAAAATCCTACCAAGTTATAAATAGATGTGTCTTATGCTCAGATGGACAGAATGAACCCACCCTAGGCTGCCAGCTCCTGCATCCCACAGTGATGGGGAAAAAACTGTAGCTAGCTAAGTGGTGTCCAGGAAACTCAGCAAGACACTGAGCATGCTGGCCTCCATCCAGCAAAGCATTTAAGCGCATGATTAACTTAAAGCACGTGAGCCGTCCCAATGAAATCAGTGTGTGTTGGATCAGGGCCAGGGAGTTCAGCACCTTGCAAGCATGAGCCCCAAAAGCGCAAGCTTGTTACCGCTTGAGCTCAGGCAGCATCCACTCCGCTGTAAGCATTAGGCTCTTGCCGTTGGTGTGGACCGTTCACTGAAGGGTGGACGTGGACTGTACATGCGAACAGATGGAGCAGGGCAATTGCTTGACGTCCTAAGACAGCGTCATCTGTGTCTGCACTAACATGGTCTGTTTGCTTGGAAAGTGGGTGTGTGATGAGAAATCTCAGCAGCCTGTGCCCACGTGTAATGTGTTTGGCTTGTCGGGGTCCCTCATCTCTTTGCTGTAGTCTCTCTCTCTCTCTCGGGTGGGTGGGTAGTGTTAAGCCGGGGGTTCTTTTCCTACCTGCTTTATATTAGGCTAACCATGTGTGGACAAACACAAACTTCAGCCTTAAAAGCTGTACGTAAACGCTCTTCATACAACCCTCCAGCGCAAACAGCTCCTAAAGACAGGCTGCGTTCTATAGTCACTACAGAGTAACAGGAGTGCTGCCTGCTGCGAGATAGCAGGCTCTGCAGCTTTTAATAGGAGACCGGGATTAGCCATTTTCTAGATGTCCCCTCTATAAGAAACACTTCTTGCTAAAGGAAGAAATTACTCTTACCCTGTCGCATACACTTCTCGGAATGACTAGCGGAGAGAACAAACGCTCTAATCCAGGGGCTGAACTGAGACCACACAGTAAAGCGACAAAACTCTCGCGCCAGGACAAACTCCGAGGTGATGTAGAGCAGGGATTCTGAACCTTTTTCTTTCGGAGGCCTCCCCAACATGCTATAAAAACTCCACGGCCTGTCTGTGCCACCACAACTGGTTTTCTGCATATGAAAACCAGGGCCGGCATCAGGGGGTAGCAAGCAGGGAACTTGCCTGGGGCCTGATGCCATAGGGGCCCCCACAAAACTACATTGCTCAGGGCCCCAGGCTTCAACCCCATGTGGCAGGGCTTCAGCTTTCTGCCCTGGACCCCCCTGAAACCTGCTCGTGGCCCCCGAGGGGGCCTTGGATCCCTGGTGGAAAACCACTGATGTAGAGGGTGATGTAGGTTACTTTGCATGTGCGAGGTGAAGGCTGAAAGGGAAGAAAGGGGGTGTAACAGGAAAAGCCGCCTCCTGCTCCCTTGTCACCGCCCTGAAATCCCCACTTGTCACAGCGGCATCTTGATCAGCAAGTCTAAATCGAGACCCGCCAGGCAGATAGTGGACCCGATTGTATCAGAGCTGGGGCCTGACTTGGGAAGTAGCAAAAACAGCGTAGCTCCTATGCTCCCTTGGGTTTTTGGTGTATTGGAGCCAGGTGGCCAGAATACAGAAGAGCAAACGAGGACTGTTGGATCCTCATCCCAGTAATGTACTAACAGGCAGATTGCTGGAAGCTCATCACTTTTATCATCCTTTTATCCCCCAACCATATTTGAAATGTTCAGATGCTATTTAAGAAACCGGTGGCTCCCCATAACTGGGGCTAACAGAGTCTCACCCTTCCATTGCCTGATCTACTGATTATGTATTATACTGATTACTTGAGAATGCCCTGTTAACCCTCTGAGGTTTGGTAAATTCGAGTCCTCAGATCAGGCCCAGAGTTGTTAGAAGTACTGTTAATTTGGGAACTCCCATGTGCAGGGTTGCAACACTCAGACTTGAGGAAGAAGCTTCTGAATTTGCAATGGTTTTGCTAGCACAATTAGTAAACACACAAACAATCCAATCCAACCCAACCAAGGAGGCAGCAGTAATACAGTATTAACTTCCTGTCTGGTGTCGTGTCATACCTATAGTCACACCATCCTTGTGGAGACCTAGGACTGATGAGACAGGAATGTTCGGCCTCCTTTGTCCATAACTAAATTCCTCACCCTAATAACATTGGGGTGTCCTTATGCTATAGGTTAGTATATTAATTATCTCAGACTTGCAAACATACACATCAGTTGGTTGCAGTAACAATTGCGCAGTTGAACATCTGCTGATGTTCCTATCCTAAAATAGCCAAACTGGCATCAACTGCGTTCTCGTGGTTGCGTGTCGGTGTATTTGTTCACCCGAACAAAGTCTTATGATACCTTGTGACTTAAGTTAGACAGCAGCGACCTCACTTATGCTAAAGCTTGTAGGCCGCATAGCTCATGCAAAGTGCTTAAGCTAATATCTTACAGACTTGGGTCTGTAGGTCTCTTACATTACTGCTTGATATACCTTGTATCTCTCATACCCTTCCCAAGTAGAAGATGCTGTCTTAGCTTTGGGCCTTTGGGAAGCAAGGCTACCTGACCAGGGGGAATCATACTCCTCAGTTGAGATTGGGGGTTAACAGGGAAAGCTCTGCTCGCTCACACTCCAGCGGCATGAATCTGATTCCCATTAAAGGAACGGCTCCGCTGAACTTCAGCACGCTTGAAGTGATCCCCTTCCAGTTTTCAGTGAAACTAAATGGAATTCCGTAACGAAGGGCCTCTGTTTCTCACTCTTGGAAACTTGCTTGGATCAAATCCCATGTGTCAAGATGCCTCTCTTGCTAAGAGCCTGATCTTTGGCTTGCCACGTGTCTCTAAGTTCCTTGGGCTTTCCCACACCCCATCCCAAAATGACTAAGATCTTTAATATCACCTTGGCCCTCGGAGGCTTCTTCAAGCCTAATGGCTGGATTGGGGAGCAGCGTACATTAGCTTCAGCAGGTCTCTGCCTCATTGAGTTGCTTGGGGGATGTCTGGTTCATGGCATCCTGAAGTCCTTTAAGGTGGGTTGTTTTTTTTTTTGCAGCTGGAATGTTCCAGGAGTCTTTGAAGGAGGTCCCTTCGATTGCTCCAAAGATTTCCTCCCCCTTCCAGCCATGGGTGGGAGGACTCAGGAGCACTTTCCAATCAAATTGTGGGAAGGGTCTGTGCTTTGCACTGAAGCAGTCACGACCTTCCATAAAGAGCTTTCGATCTATCTTCTATTGATGTTTGCAGGGCCTCTCTCATTGAAGTACCAGGGCCTCTCCTGCTGAGCAGAGAGGTCGGTGATGTGCGGGTGCTTCTTAGTACGGCACATGTGGCCTGCTGCAAAGCCATAGATCTTCAGCGGTGGCTTATCCCTCCCACTGCTTTTACCTTGGTCCAGGGCAGCGGTAGTGTGATGACAGGAGGCTTCCAATGGAAAAGACTCCATCTCCCTTTTCCCCAATAACCCATAGCTAGGTTTGGAGTCTCAAAGATGAAGAAGCCGTCTCACGGCTAGTATTCCCCTGCCAGTCCTATTTAATCCAAGGGGACATAATTCTGATACTGCTACTGTACGGAGTTTGCATTCCACGAGTAATAGCACCTGGCTTCTGTATTTGACCTGCACAAACTCTTGATGTCTTACACTCTGCCCATTGCATTACAGAGTGTGCTTGTGAACATGGCGGTTCCTAATTGGATTCAGATTTTTATCGTCAGACGTGGAATTCTTCAGGCAGTTTTAGGGGACAAAAGTCTGTTTCTAGTGGCCTGTTTCCATAAGTAGCACAGAGTAGCCCCGACACATGTTTTTCTTAGAGGAGCTGAGAATTGAATAGCAGACTCACAATCTAGAGTGTAAAGTGTGTGTGTGCAGTAGGGCCCACAATCACAATGTATGTGAAATGGGAGTTTTGTCAGACTTCATGCAGAGTCTAAGAGCTTGGATTATGCAGACTGTCTGAATGCCATGGTGTGGGGTTTTTTTTGTTTGTTTTTTGTAGGTTCAGATGTAAATAGCATGGATTCTGTGGACAGTGGCTGTGCCCTTGGGAAGACGGAGAGTTGCCAGAACTCCAAGCCAGGAGTAGAATCCAATAAGTCTGAGCTCACTATCTGGGAGATAGAGGTGCCAAAGGTAACGAGCCAAATACTCGGCATCCGTAACTCCCTGCACTGACCTTGGGGAGCGTTGGCCAGTGGTTAGCGGGGGACTGGGAGTCAACTTCTGGGTTCTAGTCCTGGCTCTGCCACAGTGTGACCTTGAGCGAAGCACATGGCCCTTCTGTATCTCCCTCTGTCTATAAAACGGGTGCTGTGCTTTCTTATCCTTCAGGGGTTGGGGCTTAACACTCCTTGAAATACCTGCTGAAGGACTCCAAATGCAAAGAATCCTTGTAGGGCTGCTGATTTTCGGTTTTAAGCGATAAACATCCATGGCACAAAAAACCCTGAAATTGGTATTTATCCAGGAAACCCCAGAAATAGTGACTTGCATCTCAGCGCAGAAATGCAGACTACGCGGGTGTGATTTCTAAAGCGCACTAATGTGTTGCACATCTGTTGGTCTGTGTAGACCATGCTGGTGCACGTTAAAATTGAATGTAGTGTTGTTTCAAACAGTACCACGTTCCAGCACACTAGGGAGCATTCTAAAGATTAGTTATTACAGTGTATATATAGAGCCCCCCAAACCCTTGATATTCAACGCCCTGTACCCTGATGTACATAAAACTAAAAATTGCTAAAAAATACACCCCCCCTCCCCCCATGAAATTAGTAAACCCAAAAAAACAGATTCCATAATTCTTGGTAGAGGGGGTGCTTTGGCTTTTCTTGCATATGGGGGACAGAGGATGTTCAAGGGGCTTTCTATATTCTCTGCTGAAATTCTGAATGTCTCTAAGGGGCTAATGCCCATTAATGTGTTGAGAACGCCTCTCCAGAAAGAGCAACTGTCTCTGGGTCTAGGAAGGATGTTCCATGTTCCCTCCAGAGCCTCCCCCCACCCCATCCCCATTCTACACTTGCCCCATTGCCCAGGCTTTGCTTCATAACATTCATCCTTGCACCTTGGAGCCCTGGATGACTCCACAAGATCCCTTCCAGAACTGGTCCTTGTTGCTCCTGAGTCATCCAGAAGGTTCACAGTTCAGCAATATAAGGCATCGCTTTCCCAAATGGGTTGAGCATGCTGCCTCCTATAGCGATGCAGTGGGCTCTGACACTACGTGAGAAGTTTCTTTTTATGGGATAGTATACCCTAGGCACAGGGAATCAGCCCTGCAGTAGCAGAATCCATATCCTTGGCCAATGAGGACAAGCTGTTAGTATTTCTCCAAAGAAACTTGTAATTAGTTTTAGTTAAAGAGCTAGAACTTAAGGGTTTTTTAAAATGAAAAGCACAATGGCATAATAAGAAATGGGGCCAGATTCAGAGATGGGGCAGTTCCATTGATTTCAGGAGTTACGCTAACCTACACCAGGGCTTCGTGTCTTTGCTGCACTTGCTGTTTCTGCTGACTAGAAAGATGGACTTAACAAAATGTGGGTAAATCAGAAACTGCCTTGGGCTACTGAACAAAATCTCTCTAAACTCTGCTGGGCCAATGTCATTTTACACTTGGTAGAAGCCCAGTCTGCGCTGAGTTCCGATTGATCCTCACGGCCCCATCAGACCTGTGGCATTTCTTGTAGGTGAAATTAAGCATTTAAAAATTAAAGATCCCAGGTGTTGTTCTCACTCCTCACTGTGAATTCTCCATCTTTCCATCAAGCACTTGGTTGGCCGGCTGATTGGCAAGCAGGGGAGATACGTGAGTTTTCTGAAGCAAACTTCTGGTGCCAAAATTTATATTTCAACGCTACCTTACACCCAAGATGTCCAGATTTGTCACATAGAAGGTGAGTGAGATGATTCCCGGCTGTGGGTTTTTTTTAAGACTGTGTCTAAAATCTGACCTCTGGACGCTTAGATAAAGGGGTGAAGAACTGACTGCAGCTTGGATACTTAACTTTGAGTCTTGTGCTCGAAATGCCACTACCTGTGCTTCAAATAACATCAATGCTAGGCCCTGTCTATGCTGGGAAGGAAGGTGAATTTTTAACGCATTAAAATCGTGGGGGAGAGCATATGGCTTACCTCAACCAGCTAATGGCTGTTAACACACAACTGCCTTGTCTACACTAGGATTTTAAAATGTCCATCTTTCCCTAGTGCAGACAAGGTTTATGGGGTACCATTTCCCCAAACCCTTCTTCCAGAGATGTGTGTGTGAGAGGTTGTTCTAGATCTGTTTCCCTAACCATATGTCTGCACATAGTGACATGGAGCTGGGGTGATTTGCAGCGCACGTAGGCATGCCCGCGCCAGCTGTAAGCTAGCTAGTTTGCTAAGAAATAGCAGTGAGGACACCGAGGTGCGGGCTTCAGCGCTGGCTGCATGAGCCTGCCTGACTCTCCCCCCCTCCCCCCTTTTGCTGGATACATACCGTCTTGTGCTGCCCACGGCCTCACTGCTGTTTTCAGCAAGCTACCTAAAGCATGGCTAGCGCAAGTATGTAGCCTATAATGTGTTAGCATCTAGCTAATCCCCTGCTAACAACCCCGCTGACAGGATTTAGGTAAAAACAAAAAAAGAGGAACTAACATGTTTGCAGCCATTGGATTGTTCACTTCACCTGTATTTTAGATCCCTTTTGCCTTGTAGGTTTAGACTGTAAGCTCTGTAGGGCAGGGACTCTCTCAGGCTTGCCCTACGCTGGAAGCTTATACTGGCATAGCTGCGTCAGTCAGGTATGTATTTAAAAACAAAAATCACCACGCCCCTGACAGACGGACGCATCCATTCTGACAAGTGTAGGTGTTGGTGGAAGAGGGCTTCTGCTGACATAGTTAACTTCGTTCCGGGGTGTGGTGTTCCTGTGTCTACTCTCCAGGGCCCTGCTGTGCTGGCATAGTCTCCGTAGTTGAGGCATACCCTTATGCTGTGCCTGAACACTGACCAGCACAATGGGACCCATTCTTGGTTGTAACCTCATCACCACAGTAATAAACATAAATCAGTTGTTGTAGATTTTTGACAAGAGAAGTCACTGAAAATAAACATGTACTAAAATATTTTTGTAAATGATTAGGGGAGCTGGGAAAATATTCCATTTGCCAGAATCTTTAAAGGGCCACTGTACAAAGAAATATCACTTAAAAAAATATTTATCTTGGTTACTCGGACACTATAGATGCTGTATTAAAACTGAATTGTTTTAAAGGTACTTGTTGCCCTTTATGCTTCACACAACGCACAGCCAACCTGTGGAACTCCTTGCCAGAGGATGTTGTGAAGGCCAAGAGCATTGGCCTGCTAAACCCAGGGTTGTGAGTTCAATCCTTGAGGGGGCCATTTAGGGATTTGGGGCAAAAATCTGTCTGGGGATTGGTCCTGCTTTGAGCAGGGTGTTGGACTAGATGACCTCCTGAGGTCCCTTCCAACCCTGATATTCTATGATTCTATAACAGCGTTCAAAAAAGAACTAGATAAATTCATGGAGGATAGGTCCATCAATGGCTATTAGCCAGGATGGGCAGGGATGGTGTCCCTAGCCTCTATTTGCTAGAAGCAGGGAATGGGCAATGGGATGGATCACTGGATGATTACCTGTTCTGTTCATTCCCTCTGGAGCACCTGACATTGGCCACTGTTGGAAGACAGGACAGTGGGCTAGATGGACCTTTGGTCTGACCCAGTATGGCCGTTGTTATGTTAATCTCTGTGCTTGGCTCATCGTGGACAGATGCTGCGCTGGTTGATTAAGTTTCCTCAGTTTAAGGGATATTCCTGGCACTAGTACAACACTGTTTTGGGTCACGGAGTGTGGTTTGAGACTTTCAAAGCAAGATATAACCATACATCTTTCACTAAAGTTAATAGCAGGGACGTAGCTGCTTGGCTTTGAAAATGTCAGCTGTCAAGACTCTATCACTGAAACTTAAACACACGAAACAACCACGCCACACTGGGGATTTTGTTTTAGCTTTCTAATGTGGGGCTTAGCATGCAGTGAATAGCCCTCTTCGGTGAAGCTGAAACCAGCGCACAGTGATCCCATGGCAGGAGACAGTTTTATTTACAGCTGTGTATCCAGGGTTTTACCCACATCAAAAAAGATATTTGCTGGTATAGACAGGAAAGGTCTGTATGTAATCGTATCATTCAGGAGGAGTTACAAGGTACTGCCGGTCAGGAGTGCTGGGACAATTTGTATAGTGGGGGTGCCGAGAGTCATTGAACCAAACTGTCAACCCTGTCCTATGCTAGAAACCACTTCAAGCTGGGGGGAGAGCGGCAGCACCCCTAGTTCCAGCACTTGTGCTGCCTGTGTGTGCCCAACACATCCACGTGATTTAACTCTGTCTTTTTGTCTTCCAGGCTCTCAGCATCATGTAGACAAAGCGCTGAGTCTGATTGGTAAGAAGTTCAAGGAGCTGAGCCTCACCAACATTTACGCTCCTCCAGCCCCATCACTGATGCTGCATTCCCTCCCTATGACTTCCTGGGTAAGCCCCAAGGTAGCACGCTAGCCGTGTTTATATAGTTAGACTGTATGGACATGCCTAGGAGATGTATCCATAGAGCCACATTGCATTCTCCCTTCATTTTGACTGTCCTATTTCCGATAGGTTTTTCCATTAAGCAAATATCAAGGATGGCCTATCCTACAATGACTATGCACCATAATCCGTTCCATAGATGGGTGTGCTGGAAAGACCGGGCGTGTACTGAGTAATCGTGCCTCAGAACAAAGAACACTTCTTTGATCCATAGCAGGCACTGTACAAGCAAGCAGCCCCACAAAGATTCCTTCGAGACTGTCCTTTGCTTTTCTTGATCAGCACAGATGTAGTTGTTGCATGTCAGACTGTTTCCATCTGTCGTCATGACGCCCTGTGTTTAATTTCCTGGAATACACTGCAGAAAATGTACCCATACCTTCAACCCAAACTTGCTTAATCTCTGGCAGTTACACGTCTGACATAATGGGCTTTGGCCTACAGTCTAGACATGTTTGCTCAAGGAAATAACCCTTTGGTTTTTTGGTTTGTGCATGAGGAGATATTCTGGTTCTGTTCTTACAATCCATTTGCCACATGGTCAAAGACAATCAGTTTCTGTATATATTGGTTGTCATGTGACTGGTAGAATCGTGCTGAATTGTTACTTTCCAGTAGCATCACATTCCCTTTAAGCGTCTATTGCAATTATTCAGATCTGGCATCATAATCAACCTCTGCGCTTTCCACACAATATTTCACATCTGTTTCCCTTTCCAGATATTGTCTATAAATGACAGTCTATTTGGTAATAGATCTTACTGGGTACACCATGGACTCCAATATCTGTTAAATAGCTAAATATCGCTTGGATATATACTTATATCTGCCTCCACGGGTAGCAAGGGGGCTGCATGTTTCTAATTCTTTGAGCCTTCTCCTTTAGATTTCTGTTTATAACCTTAAAGGGAAACTCCAATACAGCTCAGGTTGTGGTAGGTGCCTTTAGGTTGTGCTAAGTTACAGCATACCCTCAAAAGCCTGATGGCTGCGCAATGGCCTATGTGAAATGACTTGGCAGGGAAATCTGTGAAAGTGTTTTCATCTCAGAAACCGCCATCGCAAACTGCTACTTATTTGGCAGCCTCAGTAGAGAGGCCAGGAGCTCAGATGAGCTTGGAATTAAACTACTTTCTCCAACAAGTGATTCTACCAGATCAGTGTTGGGGTATTTTGTCAGGATGGCACAAAATGAGCTTGCATTGTTGTTGCCTATACTAGTCTCCCTGCCCTATTCATAAATAGCATCCTTTAGCGTTGTCGGCATGCTTGCGCTGCACAACATGCACAATTGCTGCCCCAAAGAATTTACACTAATCTGACCCCCTTTCATGAGAACACATGTCAACAATGACTCTCCGTCAGCTGGTCCTAGGTTCAAACTAGTCTCCTAGAGGTGAAGATCTAAAGAGCCCACTTCTGAACTCCTGAACCACTAAGGCCCCTCATTTTTGTGTCTGTAGTAGAGTAGATAAGGTATCAGTGAAACTGAGTTTATTACTAACCTTTGGAATGAGTGAAGCTCACGTTGCAATAGTATGTTAATGGAAACCTAACACTTTCTCTTTGTGGCAGCTCATGCTACCGGATGGAGTCACCGTAGAAGTAATTGTCGTTAACCAAATCGACGCAGGACACATGTTTGTACAGCAGCACACGCACCCCACGTTCCATGTGCTGCGCAGTCTGGACCAGCAGATGTATGTCTGCTATTCTCAGCCTGGAATTCCAACTCTGCCCACTCCAGTAGAAGGCAAGTCATTTTGTTCCTCATGAATTGTCAAGCAGAACGTCTCCTCCTGGGATCTGTCCCTGGTCTTTCCTAGTAGCATCTAGCAGACTTTCTCCTCTGCGCTTCAGAGTAATTTGAGTCTAGAGTTTACTGAAAGGTATTTTTTCAGTGTGTCTGCCCTGCACTCCCTGATAAATCAAACTACACGCGTTCCATTTTCTCAAGTTTGCTCCGCCCTCCAGAGATGAGGGTCTATGACAGAATTTGCCATGGGTCAGACAATAGAGAACCTGTATAAAAATGGGACACAATCATTCTTCACATAGCTTAATTAATTTGTAAATAATGTTATGTGAGTTTCCTCTAAGGAGACTTGGGAAAATAAGGTGCGAAATAAGTGGGTGTTTGCAGCTCCTAAACGTTGGGCAGGGTGCAATGGAAGATGAGTGTAAAAGCTGTGTTTAAAACTACTAGCAAGACCCATATAATAGACTTTGTGGAAGGGGTATTAAAGCTCACGCTTCAGGTCTTCAGCAAAGGTCAAAGCATTAGAGGTCAGGATGAGCCCTAATGTGGGTGGCAGACTACTCCACATCTGGCTGTTGCAGAGTTCTTCCATTTTCCTTTGAAGCCTCTGCTGCAGGCCAGTGTCAGGGATGGGATATTGAACTAGACGGGGCTTGGTTCTGATCCAATCTAGCAATTCCTATCTTCCTACCAAGGTAAATTCAAACCAGAACTACTCTGGCCAATTATAAACTACTCTGAAAGCTTTGAATGTAAATCTTGCCACAGTGTGAGCTAGCATGAATATAAGCATGAACTTGAGTATTTTTTCTCACAACGCACAGTCAACCTGTGGAACTCCTTGCCAGATGATGCTGTGAAGGCCAAGACTAACAGGGTCAAAAAAGAACTAGATGAGTTCATGGAGGATAGGTTCATCAATGGCTATTAGCCAGGATGGACAGGGATGGTGTCCCTGGCCTCTGTTTGCCAGAAGCTGGGAATGGGCAACAGGATGGATCACTTGATGATTACCTGTTCTGTTCATTCCCTGTGGGGCACCTGGCATTGGCTACTGTCGGAAGACAGGATACTGGGCTAGATGGACCTTTGGTCTGACCTAGTATGGCCACTCTTATGTTCTCATGAGCAGCATTACTACAAGAAGCATGTGTTACCAGTTTCTCGGTGGGGGCAGAGGGGCGTTTTTTTATTTACCTTTCCCATAGCCGGTGTTTTCATCTCCTCTCTCTAGCCTTGTCAGTCAGGGAGCAGCATTGCTGCGCGTTCCTGAAGATGTTTGCTGCCGGCACCCTAATTATAACATCAGGATTATTTTCTTTGCTATCAAACCCTGTCATTTTCTCCTTTATAGAGGTATAATTTCTGGCAATGCCTCCAGATTGCTGGCGTGCGCTGTGGTGGGGGGGGAAGCATTCCCGACATGGCTGTTTCTGCTGTATGTGTCGCTCTCACTGAAGCAGTTCGGCATAGTGTATGGGTCCAGCATGATGTACCCATCTTTAAACGGGGGTGGGTCTGTGAGTGGCTGTTTCTTGGTGATTCAGAAAGGTGGCAGCTCAACGGAATCTTTTCTTTTCAAGGTACCTTCCGGAGGACACATGTTTGTCCACTGTATACAGCGTCACTCAGACGTGCCATGCCCCCGGAGAGGACTATTCAGTAGTTCACGAACGCTCTGAATACTTCTCTTGCTCAAGTTACTCGTGTTGAGCAGCTACTTTAAAACAAACAAAAGTGCAAAATTGAACATGCTAAGTACGTTTAGAGAGAGTTTAAAAGCCTCTTATTACTTCAGGCAGGGTTAGTCCCACGTCTGCTTAATATCACTGGACAGGGCAAGGCGGAGAGAGAAGTGTATTACTGCAGCTGCTAGTGGCGCTGGCCATGCTTGTGCTAGGCACTGTATGCTCATATGGTGAGAAACAGCCCTTCCCTGATCAGAATAAACAAGACAGAAAGTGGGAGGGGAAACTGAGGCACAAAGAGGTGACTTGACTTGCCCAAGGTCATCCAGCAGGTTGTTGGCAGAGCCAGCAATAGAACCCGGGACTCCTAAATGCTGGTCCAGTGCTCTGTCTGCTGGGTCATGCTGCCTCTCTGCTGCGGGGCGCCAGGCGTCTTGTCTGAAAGCAGCGTGGGCGGGTAGCAGCGTGTCCTCCCCGACGCTGCGCTTCTTCCTCAGCAGACACAGGAGTCTGGCGTCTCTGCTGTTCCAATGGTTCTTCTAGAAACAGGCACTAACGCTGAGTCTTCCCACTCCTCCCTCTTTTTTGCTTTGCAGTCGGTGTGATCTGTGCTGCTCCGGGCTTGGATGGCGCTTGGTGGCGGGCTCAGGTTGTCGACTACTTCAAAGATAACAACGAAGTGGAGATCAGATACGTGGACTACGGAGGATACGAGAGAGTTAAAATCGACACACTCAGGCAGATCAGGTCAGGAACTGCGTTTTTCCTCCCTTGACCGGAACAAAAATGGTTGAACTTCCATAACTAAGTGTAATGGCTTGATAGGTATAGGTGTCTCCGCAGTATAATGAATGCATTAAGGGGGAGTGCTTCTCTCAGCAACTTACAACCATGTGGGACCCCTGGCTTCCTCACTGATGCCCCTACCTCTTACATAGTGCTTTCATCCATAAGTGCCTAAGCGCTCCGCAGAGGAGGGCAAATGTAATCCTCATTTAAGTAGTGGATAAACTGAGGAACAAAAAAGTGACTTACCTAAGGGCACCCAGCAGCAAAACCAGGAATAGACCTTCCGTCTACATGCCCCATCCGCTGGGCTGGGCTGCCTCATGAAAACTCTGTCCCTGTGTAGTGACATGCTGAGTGTGTTTGGGGAACGATGCACTTGTTGTTCTCTTCCTGGTGGGAAGCGATGAGGCACAGATGCATAGCACCAGCTGGACCAGGGAGAGACATTGCCCTTTCAGAGAGGGTTCCCCCCAGTCCCAGTGGTGCACCATTTGCACGGCTGCATTTGTGGCATGGAAAATGAGATTTTGCAGAGCCAGGGCAGGGGAAGACAACTTGGGAGGAGAACAAATGGAGCAGCACTCATAATCCCTGCACGTGGGTCTAACTTCCAGCTTCCTACCTTGGCAAGCTGTAGGTTCTTCTAAAATTTCCTGCCGTTGCTTTGCTGCTGGTAGACCAGGTACCAGTGACTGTTAACACTTACAGTGCTTAAACTGTGGGTGCCTGCCACTGGCCTGGTCTGTGCTCCTGCTCCCAGTGGAGGAGCTTGAATGGGTGGTAGAAGCACGAGGAATCTCTGGCGTTGTACACTCGGCTGGAGCGGTGGGCGAGATGAGGAAGCAATCTCATTATTATAGTTGTGCCTAGAGGACCCGGGTGAGGTCAGGGCCACAGTGTGCTAGGCACTCGCCGTAACAAGCACATAGTAAGCGCTGTCCCTTTGTCAGAGCTGACGAAGGACGGGAGAAAAGGAGCACTCCATCTTCATTTTGTACGTGGAGAACTGAGACTAAGTGGAGGAGCCCAGAGCTTGAACCCCAATCTCTCATTCCCATGCCTTAGCCACAAGATGCTCGCTCCTCGCATATGAATTTTGCTCAAACCCTTGTTACGCACACCGTGTCTATTCTTTTGGCTGTAACTAATCTGAAGCAAATGAATTCCTGCTCTATCAGCCATCATCCGTTTAAAGAGTAATAAGGAATTAGGGCAGAGGTGTGTTCTTCTATTCAAGTTGATTCTCTTCTCTTTTTAAGGTCTGATTTTGTAACTCTACCCTTCCAAGGAGCAGAAGTTTTATTAGACAATGTGGTGCCGCTTTCAGGTAACATAAATCACTGGAGAGAAACTAATGATCGGCGCTCATGGTGCTTGGTTAAACAGGATGCCATCAGTTTAGAAGCCAGAGTTGTCTAGACTTTCTCCATACCATTTTGAGTCCAATATCTGAAGTTACTAGGAAGTGGATTAGAAATTTTTTTTTTTTTGCTTGCTTGGTTTTTGCTTTTGCCAGCACTGTGGAATTAGTTTCACTATCTTTCCTGTCTAGTCAGTGTGCAGGTTTTTCACGCGGCTGAGGATGGAAAGAGAAACAGTTAGGGAAAAAATACGAGAATGTAACTTAAAACCACAAATTGGGAGAACTACCAGAGGGCAGCAGGAGGACCTAAACTACTCTTTAAACCCCTCTTTCCCAATGGACTAGATAGCAAGTGTACTGTCCCTTTAAGGTAACTAAATAAACACATGCAGATTAATTCCTTAATCTACTAGACAAACCTCTGACATTCCCATACTGAAATTGATGGTATGTACAGTTCTGAGTGTTCTTAAAAACGGCCCCAGTGCTGGAAGAGGAGGGGAAATTCGTGATGTCCGCGAACGTCTCCTATGTTGTTGCCGATAGAAATCCGGCCGTGTTTCGCTAGTGCCTAAAAGGCTTTTCAATTCTCGATATTGAAGGATGTTAACCCGACCCCCTTATAGCACCCTTTGATGTCAAGACTCTGGGTATCAGGAGAGGAAACCCGGTATAGGCGGTAGGCACAGGGTTTGCCTCTGCCGAGGCTGTAGATGGATGGCAAAGGTTGAAAGTCATTCCATCCCAAGCTTCCAGCAGCAGAGTTCACTGTTTGCATGCGCTCTGCAATAAGGGACCTCTTGCAACATCTGCAGCAGCATAGGGACTGTCATTGCTGATGATGCTGGAGATGTCTCACGAGGGTGGACCAAGAACAAAGTTTATTTTGAAACATCTTGATCTTTAAGTGTAAAGGGCCCAGGTAGTCTAAGCCCAGAAGGTAGATTTTTGTTTTCACTTCCTCAAAGCTCAGTGCATTTGCCGCATGGTGCGTGGGAACCAGAGATCAACACCTCAGTGTAGATACATCCCTCAACTTGGACAATGAAAAGTACACAGACCGTATTAATGAAGAGCGCAGCTTGCAATGTTAAAATTCCACCCATCCTTCAAGGGATTGTTTATTCTGTCAGTTAAATTCCATTGAATAGCACTGAGTTCCTGTTCACATATTAAACTTCCTGCAGGACAAGTGAAGTCCTGAGTTTCCTAGGCTCAAGAATGCCTCATTAAAAACTGAAACGTTAATGTCAACTACCATATGTGAAGACACCAAGGGTCCTCAGTAATTACTTTGAATCCATTTATGCACATGTGGCTACTGAGCTAGGATCCTTTTAAAAAGAGAACTGTTCATCTCCCCTCTGCGACACACATTTCAGTGTGATCTTGTTCGGCTTCATAGACTCTAGATGCCTGTAGCAACGATGAGAGAGATTCTTTGGTCTGTGTTATTCAGGAGATTGTTGTAATAGTCTCTTCTGGACTTAAAACATATGAGCCTGTGAATGTCTGACTTGTTTTCTCCTTTTCTTTCCAAAGACGAGGATCACTTTTCATCAGAAGCTGACTCATCCGTTAGTGAAATGACCAGAGGTACACCTCTGCTGGCACAGGTATGTATATTATTCTGCATTTGGCATTAGTGCGACGGCTACTGGAATATTGTGTCCAGTGCTGGTGTCAGTAATTCAGGAAGGATGTTGATTAATTGGAGAGGGTTCAGAGAAGAGCCATGAGAATTGGAAACTATGCCTTAGAGTGACAGACTCAAGGAACTCAATCTATTTCGCCCGTCAAAGAGATGGGTAAGGGGTGACTTGATCATGGTCTGTAAGTACCTAGATGAGGGAACAGAGATTTGATAGCAGGCTCTTCAATCTAGCAGACAAAGGTATAACAAGATCCAATGGCTGGAAGTTGAAGCTAGACAAATTCAGCCTAGAAACAAGGCTTACATTTTTAATGGTGAGGGTAGCAAAGCATTGGACCAGTTTACTAACGGTTGCAGTAGATTCTCCATCACTGGCAATTGTTAGATCAGGATTGGCCGTTTTTTTAAAAGATGTGCTCTAGTTCAAATTGGAATGAATTCAGGGAAGTTCTAGGCTCTGTGTTATACAGGAGGACTGACTAGATGAGCACAATAGTCCCTTCATGTATTTCATAGATTATAATGCTGGAATATGAGAGATGTCTAGAAAACTGCCAGTGCTGCTTATGCTTGGGCAAGAGTCTTTTTATCCTAAAGTATTCCATAGTACTCTGATGAATCAAAAGTTAAATGAAACCCCTCTGGAGACGTGAAACACTCAGCTCTTACCTGGTAATAGGACTCATGCTAGTGAAATCTCATCTCCCAAGAATGGACCAAGTGTTCTTGAGTAATAATACCTCGCTCTCTTACGCTGCTCTTGAGCTGTAGTTCTTAAAGCAATTGTCAAAGGAGACCAGGATCTTTATTTTATAGATGGGGAGACTGTGTGCCACTGTTCTCCCTCTCAGCCTCAGGAAGTGAAAGCTTAACAGCAAAGCTATGTCTCAGCTCACTGACACACCAGCTTGTCTGCTGTGCTCTATGCTAACATGTCTGTCTGTTTCCAGGTCACAAACTATGACAGTGCAACAGGCCTGCCTCTTATCCAGCTGTGGAGTATGATGGGAGATGAGGTGCGTACACTTGCAGAAATGTAGTGCTCTGGTTTGTATAGACTGAGACGTGGGTTTAAAACTCTACTTGAGTTATGGGGATTTCTTTTAATGTTGCTTTCAGGCTGGTATTTCCTTCATCTGTCTCTCTTATTTTTCCTTAGGTGGTGTCAATAAACAGAGCTCTGGTGGAAAGAGGATTTGCTCAGTGGATTGACAGTTACTAGTAAACTCTGAGAGGCCCCAAGCGACCCTTTTTTCTAAAAAAAAAAAAAAAAAAAAAAAATAAAATTTAAAAAATCCCTGTTTTTGCACTGTATTAGAATTGGGTTTGGCAATCCTGTAGGGAAGACCTGTTTGTTTACACCACTGCGCAAAACTCTGTGGTCCATTGAGACTTGTTTGCTTGACTGTTACCATTTCACTTGAAATACATACCTCATTTCAGTGAAAGGCAGGGAGTTACTAAAAGCCATAAAAAAGATACTGTAGCTTTAAAACAAAGCCTGTCCCTGGCCTAGTTCTAAGAGTTATTTAAAAAGGAAAAAAAAAGTGGGGTTTGCTTGAAGCTAACAGAACACCCCTACCATGTGTTAACTGGCTGCAGGTCTATAGCACAGATGCCCCAGAGGTTCAGTGGCTGCTTTTTCTGAAAGTGGTGTTGGCTGTTCCTTAGAAATAGGTTTGCTGCCTAGAAAGTCAACACAAAATACGTAAAGGATTTAAAGTTCAGTTGTCTATTGACTTTTCCATGTTGTGCCACCAACTTGCACAAGCTTTGTTAGTCTGATCCGTGACTGATGCTGGGAGACAAATGAATTGCATTCATGGCACTTACCCTGGCACACATCTCATGGTAGAAATGTTTTAGGATGGAGCTGCATGGGAAGAAAACTTCATCTGTGCAGACCTTTGAAATGTAGGATGAATTACCACTACAACCATAGATTGTAAATCTGCTATGTTCCAGATCATGTATTTAAAAAAAATAGATTGCCAAACCCGATTGTAATTTGTAACCATTTTCTAGCTGTGCAAGTCTGTGTAAATATATATAAAATCCTTGTAATATTTTGTATAAGAGAAACACTGGAAATCACAAAGGGAACTTAAAATTTTTTTTTTCCCCACACCAAAATGTCCTCTGTAAGTAGAAACGGTTTGGAGTCCATCAGTACAGCTGATGTACTCGGAGCATCCGAATGTGGGAGTGTTTCTGCTCTGCTGTGTACAGGATTAGCGTTGCTCTAGATTGCTGTATGGTCTGATTTGTGATCACTGACTCCTTTGCTGTACAGATCTGTTTAAAAAAAAAAAAAAAAGGTAACAATTTGGAATTGATATTGCAGTGGTGTTCTTTCTCTCTCTTGATTTATGTTGGTCCCTTTTAGATTGATATCAAATGTGGAATTTAAAATTTTGTTCAAATAATTTAAGATAACTTAATACTATTAAAAAAAATATTGTAATGTACCTGCATTTAGACATGTGTATTGAGTTGAGATTTGTTGCTGACCGGGAAGACACTTGACAGGAAAGCACTGGTATAATCAAGCCTTGGAAAATGAGAATCTTTCAGACCAATCCAGAGACTCCTTTTTTTTACTTTCGGTGAGCTGATGTGCTGGTCCACCATGCAGACATGAATGTAGCTGCCTACACCGGGATTTGATCAGATTGTATTCTCTTTTTTATGAATTCTCTCTATTCGGGGGCGTACGGTTTAATGTTAGCAATAATGTCCAATGAAAACGAAATTGATAGCTTGGTTAAATCTAAAAAACAAAAAATCCTCTTGGAATGTGTTTCCCATTTCAATTAAAGCTCAAATTTTAAGCCATCTTAATCAAAATGTGATGAGTAAGAGCCTTCATTTCCAGCCTCTTGTGGTATAGGTGTGGGTGGGAAGGGATCTTTACTTGATAGAGTGGCAGGTGAGACCAAATAGTGATGGGTTTAAAATGGGTCACAAAAAGGTGAACCTTCAAAACCCCTGTTCATTGAATTCTCTGATCACTACATCAAGTTTTGTGAAAGACCTTGGACACAGCGTTTCTTCTCTCCTTTTTAAAAAATAAATTCTTTACAAAAACCTTGCCGTGCAGTCTAGTAAGCACTGGTGCATCGGGGGAAGAGTATATTACGTGCAGATGAAATATGAGCTACGCCGCAGTTTGAAAGAGGTGACCTCAAGTCACGGCAAAGGAGTTCCTTACCTTCCATTTTGTGAAGATTCAAGTCCCAAGCATACTGGTTCTAGTTCTGCAGGCTACGTGGTTTCTTCTGAAATTAGCAGGTGTACTCTTGTGTGCTGAGCAGTATGATAATGTGCATTGGCACCTGCCCGTTACTGTCTAGGTGCTTGCGTGGCCCTCATAGTGTCTGAGCGTTGTACAGTCATTAGTGGATTTTATCCTTGCAATGCCCCAGTGAGTATGGCAATGCTGATAGCTCCATGTTACAGATGTGCAACTGAAGCACAGAGTAAATAAGTGACTTGCCTGTGGCTGAGCTGGGAGTTGAACTCTGATCTCTTGAGTCCTAGTGTCCTATCCTCTAGGCCAGCCTTTCCTTCTCCAAGACAGATCTTTGTCCCGTGGAGAGCTTTCCGATCTTCTGCATCTCAGCAGGGCAAGGGTGTGTGTGGTCCTTGCTGAGCAACTGACCGTCCGTCCCAGTTAGCATGCAGCCTGGTGGTATTTTTACAGCACCTGAAGTTATGGTTGCTGCCCTCACGATCACACGCACTGTTTCTCTTCAAAGTGCCGCCAGCACTTCGTGAGTTACAAGCCTGTGTGAGGGTTTATGCAGCTTGTCCATTCGTAGGATCCTCATCAACTTTCACTGAGTCTGCCCAGGGTAGCAGGTTTTAATTTAATAAATATCTTCGATGTACAAGAAGGAATCCTGCTCGCTTTCTCAGGTATGCAAATTTCCCTTTGCTTCGTACTCTACTCAGGCTAGGTTTAAAAACCTAGTAGCTGAAAGCAGCTGCCCTACGGCCTTAATCTTCCTGGGTACAGACCCACTGAGTGAGGGTATGTCTACATTTGAAGTGCGGCAGGGGCCCAGCCGTAGTGTAGACACTTACTACAGCGAGGGAGGGGCTCTTCCATCGCGGTAGTAAATCCATCTCTGCAAGAGGCAGTAGCTAGGTCAAGGGAAGAAATCTTCCGTTGCCCTCACCATGTCTACACTGGGGCCGAGGGCCGCTTAAGGACGTTGCACAGGGCATGACATTTTTCACAGCCCTGAGCAATGTAGTTAAGCCGACCTAACTTTGTAGTGTAGAGAAGGTGCCAGTTCTCCTTACTTACACTCAAGACCCCTTCAGAATAGACACACAATGCAACCTCCTGCTCTACAAGTTACTCTTCCCATAACAGTTATTGTGCATGGCTACTCTGACTCCCAACAGCAATTTGCACCTTACGCTGCACTGAAACAATCCGTGGCTGGCTTGGTATTTCTCTGTAAGTAGTTTAATTGTCCGCATGTTCCATTGTGTCTGTGCGCGATGAAACCTTTCTACTGTCTCCCCATGGGCTGATTCTTTAAACAAGCTGGATGCTTAATTATTTAAAATAATAACTTAGCTCCTGGGGGGGGGACTTTTTTTCTCCTCTTTCCCAAAATCTAGTTAATAGTTGTCAGAGCCTCGTCAAACAAGCCAGTCAGTGATTTTTAGTTCCAAAAGCTCAGGGTAGATCCCGGAGTTCCTAGCACGTGTCTCTGGGGAGGACCTCTTTCTACTCTGTAATTGTTCATTATGAAGCTTAGCCATTCATCTTAATGCCCGTGTTTTCCCTGGCTGCTGCAATAATGTGCTAAAAATTTGCAGCCCCCCACAGCTATTGGCAGCTTAATGGGGGCGGAGTTCCTATATTGTTTTGTGCCCCTCATTCTCTGGGAGAGAGGACTGGAAGGGGAATCCTCCTTTGCCTTAATTGGAACTTGGGCAGGGGGAATTTCCACGGTTTCAATCTGTAGTAACCGGGACACTGAGGACAAAACGGTCATTGGAGCACAGAGGGGAAGATGGGGAAATATTTTGCTTTTAACCTCATATGGGCCCAATGAAGGCTTCTGCAGCACCAATACCGATTAGAAATGGCTTTCTGAGCTGTTTGCATGCCAGCTGATTGGTATGCAGCCCTTTTTTCTGTGCAGTGACACCTGCCTGAGCAACCGCATTCCAGTGCCTGTACCATGCCCCCAATATAATACATGTAGAAGCAGCCTGCTCAATATTGCCTAGGAGGAACATTGGGTCCCCTGCAGTGAGCCTGGAATTCAGGAGCGTTACTAGATGGAAAGCGCTGCTTGAGCCCAGCACTGATACAATTGAGTAGCAATGTCCTCTCCCCTTGCTGTGGGGGGAAGCCGTAAGTAGGGGCAGCTGTGAAGAGGGTCAGTAAGCAGGGGCAGCTGTCTGCAATCAGTGGGAGATGTGGCAAACAGGAGGAGGTTGAGACCAGGAGAGCTCTGCCCAAGCATAAGCCAGAAAGGCGACTTGAGAAGGGAAGAGGGAAAGGCTAAAGGACAGGGAGGGGAGAGGGAGCCATTACTAAATATTGTGGACCATTTAGGTTTAGAGAGACACTGCAAATGAATGAATGGAAAGGCCAAGATCTGCCCTGGAAGGAAGGAGCCTCAGAGGAAAAGAACAGTAAAGGAGCAGCATCCAGGGACCTAGAGCTGAGTAAGTTTGTTGGTTTTCTTTACAGGAGTGCATGGCTGCATATTACAGTAATGGGTTTCCTGCTGTGGAGACCTCCTGCTAAGCCTTGAGCTGTAAGTGAATAGGGGCCCAACTAATGGCTTTGTGAGGGACCCCATCTTTTGGCTACTAAAGGGGGCATTCAAGCGACTGTCTAGTTCTTGGCTTATGCACCTGGGTCTGAGTGTTATGTGTGCCTTAGCTGAGGCTTCGACTGCTGAGCCATCCCAATAGGGTTACTTTGACTGTCGCTTCAAAGGGCTTCCCCTTTAAAGAGAAGCAGTGTTTTTATTATGGGTAAAATGAGGCCTCTGGAGAGCCCTAATTTTATAACTTCCGTCTGGATAGCTTCATACTCGCGGCAAGTGAAACAGGGCAGGCACTGGCTTTTCTCTGCAGACCGTGACCGCTGGCGTGCAAGGAGACCAGAATGCAGTGCTCTTTAGGAGGGGGCAGTTTTTCTGCCTGGCCTCCTGCCGGACTCGCTTTCTGCAAGTTGTTGTGACAGACTTAGGCCCCAGAGCTCTTTCTGTTTCCATTCATTCTGCCCAGGTGTAACTCATGACTCCTGTGAAGTTACAATAGGGAGGAATTTGGCTCTTTCCAACAAATCCTCAGTGTAATGGAGCCAGTTCTCAGCCAAAGGGGCAGGGATGGTAGAGTCAGACTCCTGGAGCAGGAAAAAATAAAGTAAAATCGTGAGTGTTAATGTAATGGGTGGCGCACAATAGACCCCTGTCTAATATTGGCTTACTGGGATGTGACCCCTTGGCTTGCCGTGGCTGCATTCACAGCAGTCTCTCAGAGCAGCAAGAAACTGAACCATTGGTTGAAAATGGAAACTTTATTGGCAGTGTTTGCCTTTTTAAAAAAAAAAAAAAAATTCCATTCCACCCCCAGGAGGCACAATACAAGCACATTGTCTCCTGCCACTGTTGCCAAAACATCTGCCCCACAGCCAGCCCTGGTGAGGCTTTTGGAGTGTTCACCTACACACCAGTTGGGAGTGAGGCCATTTCAAACGATCATGTTGAAAAGAACATAAGTAAAGCCCTGTCCTGCCCTTATCTCCACAAGTACTGTGTTCCGCTTCCATCGCCTCTTCTCTAAGAAGCAGAAAAGGGCAAAAGTGGAACGGGTTTTGAAAGCTGGGATTGTTTGGCTTGGAAAGAGGGAGAATAAAAGGAAGTCTGAGAGGTATTTGGAATGAGCAGTACAGGGAAGGCAGCTGTAATATGGGAGTGCTTGATGGCCCAATGAACACGCTATTTTACAGAACACTGAAAACAAGGAGCCATACGCTTTAACTCAGACACACACTGCTACGTGCCCCAGTGGTTCAAATACAAGGGGGACTCAGTGATGTTTTTCAGACTGACACAGGTTAAAAGGAAACAAAGTTAAAATGCCTAATGACACTTCCTCCTTTTGTTGAGTGTAGAATCTGTGGGTGGAACTCACTCGTCCAGGTGTTGGTTGAGGCAAATATCTTGGTGTCAAAAATAAGGATCAGATGTTTATTGAAAGGCAATATTCTCTCCAGTCACACAGACTTGGGTGAAAGGACAAGGGTTGTTATGCCTCATGCTTCTAGCCATATAGTGCTTTTGCGGGAGACTTAAGGTTTCCCCTGAATCGTCCATCAGGGGAGAGGAGGAGGTTGCACTAAATGGATTGTTGGTCGGTTCAGTTATGGCAATTTTTATGTCCTAAGTACAAAACTGTATTTGTCATACTGCTCATTTTTGATACTCAGGTCGACTGTCTCCTTGATTTAAGGACTTTGAACTACTGTCTCATGCTGTTCCGATTTTGAGGTCCTCTCATTTCTGGAAAATAACATGCTTTCAACGTAATTTGTAGATCCTGAAGTGTTTTTTCCCATGTGCTGTTTGAGTCAGGATGCAGGAGGCTGCTAGAAATCCAGCCTCTTTCTGAAGTGTACCCTTAGGTATAGTTTGACTTCTATATTTGGGGGGGATGGTGGGGGGGCAGCTCCTGTCAGGTCAATGGGGCTGCATGTGTGGGTGGGGGCAAATTCCACACCTGCCTGAGGCTTGCGGTTTGGGGGGGAAATGCCCCTCCTACCCCTCCCCCCTAAACTACACCCATGAGGGCACCTAAATCCTTCCCCACAACCACTTACTGTCCTGCTCCTATCAAAATGTCCTTTTTCATCTCAGGCACAGCCGGTTGTGTAAACGTGGGCGGTAGTTATGCTGGTGCTCTGGCTTGTACTGGTGTAGGGGAAGGTAGAGTTCAGTGCAGGCCTCTCACAGTTTGTTGGAAACAGTCACCCAGGGAACCAGATTAGAAAGAACATG